TCACAGTGCTAAAAATAGATTTTTACACATTTGCTCATACAGCCTTTATTAAGTGACAGATATATTCTATATTTGGTAGGAAGATAACTTGCATGGAATTCATCCTTTTGATTGGGGTAGGGATCAGTGGGTTAAGGTCACTTGTGCTAAAAATAGATTTTTACACTTTTGCCCATACAGCTTTTATTTTTATTGACAGATGTATTTCATATTTGGTAGGAAGATAACTTGCATGGTAATTCTTCCTTTGGATGGAGTAAGGGGTCAGTTGGGTCAAGGTCACCAGTGCTAAAAATAGATTTTTACACTTTTGCCCATACAGCCTTTATTTATTGACAGATGTATTTCATATTTGGTAGGAAGATAACTTACATGGTATTCTTCTTTTGGATAGAGTTAGGGGTCAGTTTGGTCAAGGTCACCAGTGCTCAAAATAGATTTTTACACTTTTGCCCATCCAGCCTTTATTTAATGACAGATGTATTTCATATTTGGTAGGAAGATAACTTGCATGAAGTTGAAAATAATCAGAGCAATGACTTGGCAACTTATATTTTTCACAATTACAAAATGCCATGACTTTGTCAAGCTATATAACTTGTGTTTACAATTTTTTGAAAATTTTTCTGTCCATAACTGAGTGAATGGGTAAACATTTTTTGAAATATTGCTACTGTCAGACAAGAATCTGAGCCGGGTGTAAGAATGTATCATGCATAAAGGTGATTGCATGGAGTTTTAAATTAAGCCTGCAGCTGTCTAACATGTATCTTTTATTATATGTATCACAATATGTTTCGGTTTTGTATATGTGTGTTTGTTGTTTTTCAGGGTTTTTATTGAGGACTGTGAAGGGACAGGGTTTGGGGGGTGGTGGTGGTACTTAACAAATTACATCCTAGTGATATGAAACAAAATTGGAACAAATTGGTTAAATGTTAAAAAAGAAAATCTTGTTTTATGATATATGTCTTTGACAGAAGGAACTGAAATATTGTACATAAATTGATCTTTTCTCTTGAACAGACTGGCAGCAAAGATGTAGACCAGGTAAATATGAGTGTTCCACAAACAATCAGTGTGTCAACTATGCTCAGTATAAGAAAAGGGACTGGATGGTATGTCAGTGTCCGGCAGGAAAAAAACGAGGGAAATATTGTTTTGATGGTATGTTATTCAATTTGTTGTACTTTTATGATTAATATACTATTTTAATACATCATCCTAAACTTTATTGCTGCTTAATGTACATATACATGTAATAGATTTTGGTTTGTTTCTTTGCAGGAAATGCAAGAAAAGACAAATCTATGTAAATCATTGATTTTGAAAATTTGTGAAAAAAGTAAACCTATCATCAAATTAGTGATTGCTTCTATAATTTTCTTTATTATAAGGATCTCTCATTATCAACTTTAAATCATAATCTTTCCTTTTGTAGTATATGAAAGGTATACTGTATGTATCATTATGGTACTTACATGTGAACACACCCCTTGTGGATGAGGGGTTTCCTTTAAGGGTTGAGGAATCAGAATTGCACCTATTGTATAACCCTGCGTGATCATAAGAGGGGACTAAATGAGCCGCGTCACGACAAAACCAACATAGTGCGTTTGCAACCAGCATGGATCCAGACCAGTCTGCGCATCCGCGCAGTCTGATCAGGATCCATGCTGTTCGCTATCAGTTTCTCTACTTGCAATAGGGTTGGTTAGCGAACAGCATTCTGGTCACAAACGCACTATGTTGGTTTTGTTGTGACGCGGCTCAAATGTGTTTGAATTACTGGAGTTTCTGCATCTCTTAGTGCCAGTAGGTGGGGCTGTTTTGACCCCTAGTGTTGTTTCAAGTCTGTAACACCCAAGGTTAGCCAAATCATCATTCCTGTTTCAGAGCTATTTGACCTAAATGAGCCGTGTCATGACAAAACCAACATAATGGGTTTGCGACCAGCATGGATCCAGACCAGCCTGCGCATTCAGGATCCATGCTGTTCGCTTACAAACCCTATAACAAGTAGAGAAAGTGATAGCGAACAGCATGGATCCTGATCAGATTGGGTGGATGCGCAGGCTGGTTTGGATCCATGCTGGTCGCAAACCATTATGTTGGTTTTGTCATGACGCGGCTCAAATTGTGTTCGTGCACCTTAAAACCAAACAAAAACAAACAAACATGAATTTTCACAAGATAGGTCATTATGGCTTGGTATCCAAGTCCAGATAATATGACCATTTGTGTATGATTTTGATAGTTTTGACAAAGAACTTTTAGTGGAAGGTAATTGTTAGGTAAAAGCTTGTTTTTGTTACTAATATATTTTTGTTTCTATTATATCATTATTGAATTTTTTGTATCATTGTTGAAATTTTCAGATTATGTGGTAGAAAGGCCTCCTAAGGACTCCAACTGTGTTGACACCTTACTTTACGGCCCAGTTTGCTTATGCAGCGAGTACAGTAAACCAAAATATGGGTTTTGTATTCCTCAACTTTCCAAGTCGACTGGTTATAGACTCATTCAAAGTGGGCATACAGCACTTGTTAAATCAGGTAAGTGACTGAACCAGAAATAAATTGGTATGTACAGTTCTTTTCAGTTATTTGAATTTGGATTAATTTGTAAAATCTATAATCATTGAATTCATCTGACCTTACTAAAGTAATAAAAGAATTTAAAAATATATGAGGCATTGTAATTTGATTTAACTCTAAGCCTGCTTGCAGCAACAGATTTCTTCTCATGCAGTCATTGCAGACCATGATACAGGTTGTCTTAACGTATTCTGCACTGTTAGCTATTTATTCAGTAAAAAAAAAGGTGTCTAAACACATGAATAGCCACCATAGGTTTGATATCAACAATTTTTTCTGGTCTGTTATTTTCTACCAATGTCGCTACATACTTTGATAAAAGCAATCATTGTATTAAGGATTTTAATTTTATGCCTATAGAGATTGTCTCTGATGATATGGAATGCTTATTGTCCCCCGCCTTTTCGAAGAAAAAAGGGGGATATAGAAATAGGCTCCGTCCGTAACAATAGAGTAAGGGGCCATTGGCCCTCTATTAAACAATAGAAAATAACAAAAGAAATGGCCCCTTATTCCATTTCGGCCGGACGTCCGTCCGTCACACTTTTGTGTCCGGTCCATAACTTTGTCATTTATGAAAGGAATTTGAAATAACTTGGCACAAATGTTTATTATAATAAGACGATGTGTCATGTGCAACAACCAGACCCCTACCTCCAGGGTCAAGGTCACACTTGCTCATTCAAGGTCAACATTGCCTATTTGGGGGTATATGTCGTGTCCGGTCCATAACTTTCTTATCTATGAAGGAATTTTGTAAATACTTGCCATAATTGTTCACAATAATCAGACGATGTGTCATGCGCAAAAACCAGTCACCTACCTTCAAGGTCAAGGTCACACTTGGAGGTCAAATATTAACATAGTCTGTTACAGGGTATATTTCGTGTCCGGTCCATAACTTTGCCATTTATCAAAGGAATTTTAAATAACTTGGCACAAATGTTTGTTATAATAAGACGATGTGTCATGCGCAACAACCAGACCCCTACCTCCAGGGTCAAGGTAGTACTTACTCATTCAATGTCAACATTGTCTGTTTGAGGGTATATGTTGTGTCTGGTCCATAACTTTCTTATCTATGAAGGAATTTTGTAAATACTTGCCATAGTTGTTCACAATAATCAGATGATGTGTCATGCGCAAAAAACGGTCACCTACCTCCAAGGTCAAGGTCACACTTGGAGGTCAAATACTTACATAGTCTGTTTCAGGGTATATTTTGTGTCCGGTCCATAACTTTTTCATAGAACAAAGGATTTTGAAAATACTTCGCACAAATAGTCACTGTGATAAGAGGATGTGTCATGCGCAACACCTGCATCCCTACCTCCAAGGTCACACTTAGAGGTCAAAAATTAACATAGTCTGTTATAGGGTATATTTTGTGTCGGATCTAGAACTTCTTCATAGTTAAAGGGAGTTTGAAATAACTTGGCACAAATAGGCACAATAATTAGACGATCTGTCAAGTACAACACCTGCACCCCTACCTCCAAGGTCAAAGTCACACTTAGATGTCAAAGGCTAACAGAGTCTGTTATTTGGTATATTTTGTGTCCCGTCCATTACTTCTTCATAGATTAAAGGATTTTGAAAATACTTGGCACAGATAGTCACATTGATTAGATAATAAGTCATGCATCAGTGTCCCTACCTCCAAGATCAATGTCAAAGATATACTTAGTCTGTTATAGGGTATATTTTGTGTCCAATCTATAACTTCTTCATAAATCAAGGGATTTTGAAAATACTTGGCACAAATAGTCTCAATAATAAGATGTTATGTCATGCACAACACCTGCTCCCCTACATCCAAGGTCAAGGTCACACTTTGAGGTCAAAGCTTAACATGATAAATTTTTAAATTTGGTGTTTCATTTTATTTTTTTAACAAATTTATTGTTACATTTGCAGATCTAGCATAGATCATAATTTTGGACTGACTGTCCTGTGATCCATACCTCAATCTTTTGAAATAGCACAATTTTATGCTTCATATAAAACTTCCCGAGGCGGGGGACGTTGGTAACTCTGTTACAAATTCTTGTATTAAACTAAAAATGCTTTTGGTATACACATTTGAAGGTCTTATGTAATAAAACTAATTGGCTGTCATTAATGAGGCCTACATGATTCATAAAATGTATGCATATTTTATTTGGTAAGATTTGTAATAACTTAAATTGCTGCACACAATGTGGGTCAGAAGTCATGCATAATAACCTGATCACATGACTAATTGGCTGCCCATAGGGGGCATACATGTTTTACAAAAATATCTTGTTTATTTTATAAACATCAATTTTTTCTGAAGAAGACTAGATGTCAAGAGATAAATCATTGAACTGATTTAGTCAGTACAAATAGGATTTTTTTCAGATTGAAAGATATAGACTCAATGGACAAGTCTATTTTAAAGGCTAAGGGTTAATACACAATGTTCAGATTGTCTATTCAAAGAAAAAGGGCGACCTGTTGTAATCACCCCAGTGTTGGCATTGGTGTCGCACCTTGCTTTTTGCCTGCAAGTTGGTATCTCCAAAACTACTGAAGGGAATAGGTTGAAACTTAACACATAATAGGAGGTCACTATCCAAGGTCCATCTCTAAACATGTTTTACAGAATAATGACCTTTTTTTTAACTTGGATAATTCTATTTTATCCAGGCTCTTGTTTAACTATCAAGCACTGAGAATACTTAATAGTCAAGCACACTGTCTTATTGACTTTCACTTGTGAGATTGAAAAAAAAAATGTATATGCCTCTTATAATACATTATAGCTTTATTTATTTATTATTAAATCTAGATAATCCATGTGTATCCAATCCTAATATCTGCAATAGTGGAAAATGTATGCAAGAACAAAGTGAGGATAAGCCAAACTTCAACTTTATTTGTGCATGTCCAATCGGAAAAACTGGCAAGCTTTGTCAGAGAGGTATCAACCAATACTGTTTGTTGTATTATATTGTTCGAGGTAGCCGTCTGGTAAGCTCAATAGGTAGAGAGTTGGACTTTGAATCAGGTGACCCGGGTTTGATTCCCGGACGGCGCAGGTCACTTTTATTGTGATTAATCATGAAATCCTTTCTACAGTCATTCTCACTGTACCTCAGCTCTGGCATGTACAGAAGTTTCAGTTCCTTTGAAAGTGAATGCAACTAGTACTGGTAAACTGCTTAACAGCCTGCCCAGGAATGATGCCGTGGTTGAACTGTGCTGTGAATTCAATGTGGCCTACTGTCGTGATCCATAGTGAAAACTACCAACACCACCACCATATTGTTCGAGGTTTTGACATTTAAAGTTCCTAAAGAAAAAACTAAAGAAAAAATGTGTTTATGGGGTATTTAGTATTCTTGACTTATTACCATTAGCCTCTAATCTCTAAGGGTTTGGTTTCCATCGGGAAATTTGAATTCTTTCATGTGAGGAATGTTTTTAGGTAGCAAATGAAACATAAGAAGTGGTTCATATCAGGTGCCTGCTTTTGCTTGAAATAAGGCTTTGAGTGGTACTTGAGGTCTTCCTCAAAGCTGGAAAGTCTCACCTATGTATGACCAATATAATGTCAGTATGGCCCATCATTGAAAATATTCTTTCATGTTCAAGAGCCTAAGAGTAAGTGATGCAAATTTCTTTTTAAAATGGGTCTATATAAAAAAAAGAGTAAAAAATTGTTTAAATAAGGGTAATCACATTGTGAAAAAAGTACTTAGAAATTTAAGAAAAGTGAAATAATAAAAAGATTCAAGATAAAAGTAATAATTTCTATGTTATATGCAGTGTATGGCATATTTTGCAGTATTTTTCACCATATTTATACTATGTTACAGTATGGGCTATTGTTGCACATTTTGACATTTTTTTGATAATTTACATGAGTGGTTACTGCTATTTCCCTCATAATAATTATTTTCTTTGTTCACTTGACATTATTTTACTTTTTAAAACATTTTCAAAATTTTCGTGAAGATTAGCATGAATCTAGGGGCATGCTGCTTTAAAAAGTCATATTGTTGTCACAGTCATATCAATGATAAGTCTTTATTTATCTTGATTAGATACATGAATGTAGTTTAATTAATCTAATAAGGCAAAACTTATATAGAAGCACAATCTTGATATAGGGCCTAATTATATATGAACCGTGTCACTACAAAATCAACATAATGGGTTTGCGACCAGCATGGATCCAGACCAGCCTGCGCATCCGCGCAGTCTGATCATGATCCATGCTGTTCGCTGTCAGTTTCTCTACTTGTAATAGGGTTTGTAAGCGAACAGCATGGATCCTGATCAGACTGCTCGGATGCGCAGGCTGGTCTGGATCCATGTCAGTTTCTCTACTTGTAATAGGGTTTGTAAGCGAACACATGGTCTGGATCCATGCTGGTCGCAAACCCATTATGTTGGTTTTGTCATGACACGGCTCATATGCTGTCTGTGTTTTAGAAATGTTAGAGTGTTACCATTGTAAGGATAAGGCAAGACCAGATTGTATCAGCCTACCAGACGGCACTGGGGTTTGCGTATGTTTAGAACTAGAAGATCGCAAAAAGCATTTAGGACAACCCCCATTGATTTGCTATTATAAACAGTTCAAAGAAAGTAAGTATGATAAAGGAAATGATAATTTTAATAGTTTGGTTTATACAGAATTTATTTTAGTTTGATTGTGTAGGAAGCTATAAGCTTATAGACACACTTTCGAATCCGTTCCTGGAACCAACCAGTACTGAGCAAAGTTTCTTGCTCAAGGAAACAACGACTTGCCCCTGATGGGGTTTGAACCCATGCAGCTAGCGATAATGAGATTACTAGTCCGAATCGTTAACCACTAGGCCATGCCGCCACATTTATAGTTTAATAGGCTTAAATTTATAAGATGATGAAATTATACTAACACTTCATGTACCAGCAAAATTAAAATATATTTGTAAGAAATTTTTGTAAAGAAATTCGCCAAACATTAAATACAGTTCATATGGATAATTGTTTTAAATCACATTAGCTTGGCACTTTCTTTTTAGATACCCAGCACAAATGCAAAGGGTACCCTTGTCCTAAAGGGTCTAAGTGTATTAACTATCAACAATTAAAGAATAGACCTTGGCGAGCATGTCCGTGTGAGGCTGGTGGATTACGTTCGAAGAGGTGCGATGAAGGTACATGATTTATAAACATTCTTGACGCGTTGTTCTACTTTCTTTTTATATGCCCGAAAGAATTTCCGGCATATTATGTTATACCCCCTGGCGTCCGTCTGTCGGTCCGTCCGTCTGTTAGCAATTTGGTTTCCGGGGCATAACTAAAGTTCCATTTGCCCCACAGTATTCAAACTTCATAGGATGATTGCCCATATTGAGTAGAAGACCCCCATTGATTTTGGGGTCAAAGGTCAAGGTCACTATTACCGTAAAACTGAAAATGGTTTCCAGAGCATAACTTAAGTTCAATTTGGCCCACAGTTTTTAAACTTCATAGGATGATTGCCCATATTGGGTAAAAGACCCGTATTGATTTTGGGGTCACTAGGTCAAAGGTCAAGGTCACTATTACCTTAAAACTGAAAATGGTTTCCGCAGCATAACTTAAGTTCCATTTGCCCAACAGTATTCAAACTTCATAGGATGATTGCCCATATTGGGTAGAAGACCGCTATTGATTTTGGGGTCAAAGGTCAAGGTCACTATTACAGTAAAACTGAAAATGGTTTCCGGGGCATAACTTAAGTTCCATTTGGCCCACAGTTTTCAAACTTCATAGGATGATTGTCCACATTCAGTAGAAGACTCCTATTGATTTTAGGGTCACAAGGTCAAAGTCACTATTAGCTAAATACTGAAAATGGTTTCTGGAGCATAACTTAGGTTTCATTTGGCCTACTGTATTCAAACTTTATAGGATGATTGTCCATATTGGGTAGAAGACCCCTATTGATTTTGGGGTCACAAGGTCAAAGGTCAAGGTCACTATTACCTTAATACTGAAAATGGTGTCCGGAGCATTACTTAAGTTCCATTTGGCCCACAGTTTTCAAACTTCATAGGATGATTGTCCATATTGGGTAAAAGACCCATATTGATTTTGGGGTCACAAGGTCAAAGATCAAGGTTACTATCATCTTTAAACTGGAAACAGTTTTCGCTCACTAAATCAAGCATTATTCAAACTACAGCTAAAGTACTTTCGGGCATATAATGCTCCGCCTAGCTTGTTCTCATTTTCTTTTAAAATAATAAACATTCTGTTTAACAAGAAAACTCATTATATAATAATATTTCTGTTTAAGAATAATACTCATTATATAATACTACTATTATGCTTAACATAAAGTTTAATTATAATGAAACATTTTAAATCAACTATACGTCATTGCGTTTATGGTCAAAACATATTACTACAATAACAAAAATAATAAATTACTTCAATAATAACAATTAATAATAATAATACATTCTATTATAATAAATTACTTCAATAATAACAATAAATAATAATAACACAATGTATTACAATTAACTATACCTTGCCTGAAATAACATGTGTTTTTATGCCCCCACAAAGTGGGGAGCATATAGCGTTGCACTTGTCCGTCCGTCCGTCCGTACATCTGTCCGAGCAAACATTTTGGGTTTAGGGGCTATATAACAGTAAAGAGAACAAAAGAGAACAATAGGTTCATTCTGTGATCAAAGGGTTTATGGGCTAGTAGCCTTTAAGAAAACAAAGAAATTAACAAAGAAAATAGCCCCTAAACCCAAAATGTTGGAACGTCCGTCCGTACGTCTGTCCGTACGTCCTTTTGAATGCAACTCCTCTTAAACAGGATGGCAGATTTTGCTTAAACTTCCAGGGATGAACGACCTTAATGAGTAGATGATAGTAAATGAAGAAATTTTTGTTGCGACCAAATTTAAAAGAATTATGGCCTTTCACTATATACCATTACAGAATTTCTTTGCAACTGCAGAATAAAAAGTTCCACATAAAAATCTTACATACAGATATGCATGTTCTTGTTTACGAGCACATCAGCACAGTTGGGGCATCCGTGTCCTTTGGACACAGTTCTAGTTTACATTTATTATTATTATTTTTATAAGAATATATGGAAGACAAAGCTGTACGATTCCCATGTGTGGATACATTGAAGTATAGTCCAATCTGCATGTGTAATGAATATAGTAGAAAGAGATTTGGCTTTTGTATCCCGAAAGTGGACAAGAAATTTGGTAAGAAACTTATAAAAGTTAAAAATTTTAAAACTGAATAATCGCTTCTTATTTTTTTAAGTTTCAGAATTGTTACTTTTTTGCTCCTTCAGGATTATTGAACTTAACATATTTAGTTTTGATGTTTGATGCTAAAATGGGGAGATGGGGTTAAGGTGGTTGGTGTTTGTAACAGATGTCAGATATATTTTTGATCTTGTGTTTCTGTTCTTCATTTTGTTTTGTTCTTGAATTTTTATTGCTCTCAAAGAATCTTACTTTTCTTGATATTTTTATTTGTTGTTTTGAAATTTCACTATATTCTTACCAATTTGATTGAATTCTCTGTATACATCACCTGTTTTAATTGGGACAGGCATCGTAGATAAGTTTACAAGACCTTTGATGAAATTATATTTGTAAAAGAAAATTGGTATCCTTAATTTCCAGGGCTACTATTATGTTCCAAAATTTGGAAGTCAAAGACTGCAAAATTTGTGACAATGAAAGTCACATTATATAGGTAAAGAAGGAAAATGTTCATATCTTGGAAGTCACAAGCCAAAATTAGGGGTAAATGACTCCCAAACTTCCACTATTGGAAGCCCTGAATTCCACATACATGTTACCTTTGATCAACTTAACCCTCTCAAGCTAAATTTTAAATAGACTTTTTATAAAGCTTTGTTATCACAATGTCAAATTGGCATGTAAACATATAACTTTTTAACTTTTGGTAACTTTTAACTTATAGGTATATTTATTGAAAGGAATTCAATTTTTAACTTCTTTATTTCAGTAACAGCAAAAAGAAAAAGCGTTCAAAGCTGTAAGTGCATTTTACTGTTTTTTTTTGTTTTTTTTTTACTCTGGTTTTAACACATTTTGGGTCATATCTTGGTGTTTAATCTACCTAACCGACTCTCCTGGATAACTAATCAATTACTTATTTCTCCCACTATTTCTGAATCACCAGTAAGAGATCACCATAAGACCCATTGATGCAATGTCATATCAGTTGTCATGGAGACATTTCTCTTTGCCCGCCGATCAAACCAGCAACCTCTCGATTACTAATTCTATGCTCAAGAAAATTCCTTATATGTAGAATATATTCATTTAAAGTAATATACATGTATTTTTTCCAATATCACAATCGTCTGATTCAAATAAGTCAACTAAAATTGTTGTTAGATATATCACATTTAGTATACAACAAAATATATAGAGGATATTGAATGAGTGTAAGTTCAATACTGAATTTATTGCACAAGTTGAATTAAATTATATTATGCTAGCCTCTGGCGAGCATAATATTATTTAATTCAACGAGTGCAATAAATTCAGTAATGCACTTACACGAATTTAATATTCTATTTATCACATACCCAAAATAAAGACCGTTTAAAGTTAACTAAGAGTCATTTTACTTTGACGCGCCTATAGTTCAGCGCGTCTTTACACTATGTTTGTATAATGCTAATGACGTCACGTCATAAAATATGCATGGTCGTGCAATACCATATTTACGAAGTCGCAAAATCGGCACGGGTGTGTGATAAACCCAAATATAAACAAAATTGCAGACATAACATCAAGTTTAGTAAAATACATTCAATCATATACCTAGTACTAAAATAACATGTATTACATTTTTTGTTGCTAATCATAGAACCACTCAGAGAATTGATATTAAAAGAATTTAAGATACCTCAATTTTGAAGAAATTTTTGTAAGTTGGTTTGTTTGAAATTTTGCAGGGACAAATAATGTCATAAAATGTAAAAAGGTTATAAAAAAGCTCTCCTCTCGTTAACGGAATCATGAATTGAAGTATTTGATAATATATAGGTGACGTGTTATAGCAAAATCGGATTTCAGAAGAATGGTTTATCACTGTATGATGAATATGTTTGTTTGAAGACAAATAAATTTTTAACAATGTAAAAATCTTGTCTTGCAAGGATGTAATTAGAAGTAAATTAATGGCAGATAACTCTTTTCTCAACTGTCACAAAATACATTGTAGTTAAAGGATAGGGGGTTAATAGAAGAGTGAAGGAATTGATGATTATCCTTTTTATTGTCTTCTTAAATCATTAGCTTCCTCAGAAGAGAAGGATGAATATTCAGGGTCAAGTGGGTATTCCAGTTCTAATAGCAAGACAAAAGGTGGATATTCAGGGTCAAGTGGGTATTCCAGTTCTAATAGCGAGACAAAAGAGGGATATTCAGGGACAGGTAAAGAAACGGGAGAATATACGGAAAAGACAACGGAAGGATATACGGAAAAGACAAAAAGCAAAGAACCCAGTGCAGACTTGAATTCCAATTGGAGGAAAGAAACAAAGAGTTCTCAATCGACAAATAGTAAAGGTTATGTAACATTCTGATATTACTAAAACCGAAAAATGGTGTTACTGTTTCACAAATTAAGCAGGTTCATAGTTTCATGATTAAATGCAAGAGCAATTTAACGATTGGCTTTATGTTCTGTAAAAGCATATTCTAACACTATCGGAAATTTTTCTATAATAAACAAAGAAGGCCCTAAGCGTGCATTATTCTTCAACAATGCACTCGCCGTTCTTATTATCTCCCTGTGAATTTTTACATTGAGAATGCCATTTTGTTTGAAAAATCTGATAAATAAAAAACAATTTTTTGTCAATTTTTTTTCTGAAAAGTATCTAGAATGAAAGAAAATGGTCTAACAAAGAAAATGTCAATCCAAACACCAATATCTTTAATTCAGTCGTTAACGCTGCACAGACGTTTAAAGTGTTGTTTACGTGACGTCACAATTAATGTAGCGCCAAACAGCACATGCAAAACAGTCAAATCTAGTAAGCTATTTTAATGTAGCAAACAAGTTAAGTTTTACATTTATTTCACTTTTATAATAATTTGTATTTCGCTTGAAAAATAATAGAGTGAAATAAAATAAACAAACAAAGTTTAATCAATGTTTTCAAAATTCGTTATTTTCAAAATGTTTCTACACAGGGTACCAGATTTAACGACAGTTTTTTTTTTCAACCCACTGGAACAGCCTTTAAAGAACGTTTCTATTGGAATATCTAAGGCGAAAACAAATTTAACCACCAGCCATAAAGTCCAATTTATAGTAATATTTATATTTTTCTGGACCTGTTAGAATGGGAAAAGATATTAATTCTTCGTGCATTAGTGTATAGTAATGCACGTTTTCGTTCAAATGCTTTGTAATTAATCACTCAGGCCTATCGGCCTTCGTGATTATATTACTACGCATTTGAACTCAAACAGTGCATTATTCTACAACAATGCACTCAGAATTGATATCTATTTCCTAAACAATACATATATAAGTATAATCATAGTATTGTGCATCACAAAAGTTATTTATAGAATTTGGCTAATGCATATTTTTTTTTTTTACTTTTCTGAAAGAAGATGTGAACATAAACACACTGTTTGTTTACAAGCATAAACTAATTTAGTAAATACACTGTCAATTTTCTCGGATATGTGTTTAAAATATAATATTGTGAAGTTAGTATTTGTGGAGCAACAACATGTAAGTGGGCGTCTGTTGTAGAGTGGTTAAGGTCGTTGCTTCAAACCACTTTCCTCTCACTGTTTGAATCCCGTAAGGCACTGGGGAAGTTATTAACTATTCAGCTAGCTAATTACGGAAAGAAAGAGAAAAAAAAGTGTTCCTGTAATGTTTGATGGTATTTAAGGCTGCCAGACATTCATAGCTAAAAAATAACAAAACAAAAACTGAAAGTATCTTTTGATTCTTAAAAATAAAGTTGTTCAGAAATTTAATACTGAATTGAATTGAATGTATAAAGGTGTGAAGAATTTTTATGCGGCCAGCTTTTATGATATGTATCGTTTAAATCATGAATGATAGAATAAGTTTAAAAGACATATTTAGATTAAATGAACGACCATTTTACAAAAAGAAAATCCATTACAAGTAAATTACATTTTAAAAACTCTCATTCATTTGCATGCAAATACATTTCAGACACGTATACAAAACAGAGTAAGGAACAAGATATGGCGAAGAAAAAGGTTGAAAGTACTGGGAATAAAAATAAGGCCCCACCTCCGAAATATAATGATCCAGGTAAATGAACATCTTTTTAAAAAAAAAAGTTCTTGAAGTAATAAACATGTCTTAAAAAATAATTAAAACACCTTGGTTGGTCTAAATTTTATTGATATACTGCACATATGATATAACTCAATAAAAACATTTTTGTATTTATATTTTTTGTTATTCAATTGAATAATTTAAATCTTACAAACAGCCATACTTAGGTTATATATTAATTTGATTTTGTATCGTTTCATTTTAATCAACAATTGTTGTCAACAACTTCACATATCATGCCTAATTAGATGTTATCTGGAATTCGGCAAATCGAGAGTTGACAGCAAGACTGTTGTAAATCCCTCTTTATTATCCCCGCCGAAAAATTTCGGCGGAGGATATAGAAATAGTCTCCGTCCGACCTTCCTTCCGTCCGACATTTTTGTCCGGAGCATATCTCTAAAAGTATTTGAGTTATCAACTTGAAACTTCATAGGTGGATAGACCTCATTGAGGAGGAGTGCAGTGCACAAGAATGATAACTCTACCTTGCATGATTTTTGAGTTATTGCCCTTTGTTATTTTTCAAAATTGATTTTTGTCCAGAGCATAACTCCAAAAGCCTATGAGATACTAACATGAAACTTCATAGGTGCATAGATCTCACTCAGGAGGTGTGCAGTGCACAAGAATGATAACTCTACCTTTCATAATTTTTGAGTTATTGCCCTTTGTTATTTTTCATACCTAATTTTTCACCTGAGTGGAGCATAACTCAAAAAGTGTTTGAGATTTCAACATGAAATGTCATAGGTGGATAGATCGTATTGAGGAGGAATGTTGTGCGCAAGAATGATAACTCTTCCCTATACAATTTTTGAGTTATTGCCCTTTTTTTTTTCATGCTATTTTGTCCAGAGCTTATCTCAAAAAGTATTTGAGGTATCAACTTTAAACTTCAAAGGTGGATGGATCTCATTGAGGAGAAGTGCAGTGCTTAAGAATGATAACTCTACCCTGCATTATTTTTGAGTTATTGCCCTTTGTTATTTTTCAAAATTAATTTTTGTCCAGAGCATAACTCAAAAAGCCTTTGAGATATCAAAATGAAACTTCATAGGTGCATAGATCTCTGACTCAGGAGGTGTGCACTGCACAAGAATGATAACTCTACCTTTTATAATTTTTGAGTTACTGCCCTTTGTTCTTTTTCATACTTTAATTTTTTCTCAAAAAGTATTTGAGGTATCAACTTGAAACTTCATAGGTGGATAGATTTTACTGAGGAGGGATGCAGCACACAATAATGATAACCTACCCTGCATTATTTTTCAGTAATTGCCCTTTGTTATTTTCAGCCATCAGTATTCACATAGGTTTCAAATCTGTAATCACTATAGCCATCAGTTTTCATTACCAAAAGACCTCTTAAAATAGAATTATTCCGCTCTACTACATATAAATGTACATTCTTCCAATGAGCAAACACATTCGGCGGGGGATGGCCATGTTGACATGGCTCTTGTTTCATATAAGTTACTGCAGTTTTGCAGTCAACCCTTGAAAGGTTTTTTTTTTTCCAAGCTAATCCTTGGGTTCAATAAAACTTTACAGGGAGAAGCTTCATGATGCACTATTGTCCACGAAAATATATCAGTGGACCTGTCTCAGGCTTATTTCCGAAGTTGTAACAGTAATAGGTTTTTGTACACCTGGATATTTAACTGGGAAAACCAAAATTATAATACTTAATTCTTGAGTAAGTCTATTGATCTTATCATTTACAAACTCTCAAATTTGTAATATTCAGACTCGAAGCAAAAACACCCGTGCTCATCAAATCCTTGTATGAACAATGGAACCTGTATACGTGAGTCCGGTGATAGCTTCACTTGCGTATGTCCATTACTTTATAAAGGAAGTACTTGTGACGAAAGTGAGTATTCATATTTTAACAATTGTGTTGAAAATTAGTCCTTTGTTGTTACTAGTCATATGTCACAAGATAGTCGATGAATATGCAGTAAATTAATGAATTTTTTTTTGTATGAGAAGCAATAATCCGAAGGTTTTATTCTAAATACATATGTGTAAAATTTGAAGCACGCAATCGAGAATAATCACAGTTGATACAACAAATGATTTTACAGTAGCTTATATGAGCTGCGTCACAACAAAACCAACATAATGAGTTAGCGACCAGCATGGATTCAGACCAGCCTGCGCATCCGCGCAGTCTGATCAGGATCCATGCTGTTCGCTTACAAAAACCCTATTACAAGAAGAGAAACTGATAGCGAACAGCATGGATCCTGATCAGACTGCGCGGATGTGCAGGCTGGTCTGGATCCATGCTGGTCGCAAACCCATTATGTTGGTTTTGTCATGACGTGGCTCATTTTCTTCTTTCACCTCTTTGTATCAAACGTATCTTTGAAAACTCTATTAGTATTATTTGATTTTCTTTTTGGTAAAATAAAGAATATCATTATTCTTGTACAAATTGAAATAAAATCCAAGATTAGTACGAACATTTGTTTGTTGTTAGTAAAAAGTACATGTACTATTTTAACTGACGAAAAAATATTGACCTAAACTGTATTATTACATGTATTGCATACTTACTTTCACATTTACTTACATGATTTGCTGACTATAATAACATTAATTTGTTGACAAACACCTGTACACTGATTTACATTATTTATCTGATTAACACACTATTTTACACTAATTTTCTGACTAACGCACTAATTTTCTGACTAACAGACTAATTTTCTTATTAACGCACTTGTTACTATTAACCATTCAGAGGTATTGAAGATGAACTTTAAACTGTCTAAAAAGGACAAAGCAGCTGCAGGGCCCATTGTCGTCATAGTTGTATTGGCAATCGTTAAACTTTGCTGTTGCCTACACTGTTTTAGAGTTTCATCAAAAAGGTTAGTTTGTCTTTCATTTGTCTTCTTTATTACATACATTCCTGTATTATATTTTGTTTGAAATTGAAATAACATCTCATCTAATATGAGAAAACTTCATTGGCATTAGTGTGCATATACATTTAACTGTTTTTTCCTTAAATGCGTAGTGATTTTTTTATCACATACATTTTTTTCATTTTTTTTGTTATGTATGAAACCAGTTATAAAATATTAACGCCAGTAAACGATTGATTTTAAACGCTCTTAGTTTGATTCAAATTAAATATTTATTTTAACATTTTTTTTTTGCATATCTACGTTTCTTAAAAAGTATTGAAGATTCTACATATGTATTTAAAGTTATAGCTTTAATGTTTGTATTTTAATCGTGAAATAATTTTTTAGATATTGCATTAATTTCTTTATACCTTTATAAGATGTTGATATTTGTGTGCTTTTTCTTTCTTTTTTTTTGCGAGAAATCCCTTTGCCCTGTCTTTCAATTTTGTGGATAGCCAAATGAATTGTATGCATCTTATAGGTATGTTCATGCTTAATCATGTCTCAAAGCAGGAGCATCCTTTTCTTTAATTTCTAGTCAAATCTCCAATTTTCTTTAACATTTACCCAGCTGTCGGCAAATGAAACAACCCATGCGACCAGTGCAAACTAAAAATCAGCCGGCACGTCTGTGTCATCTGATATGGTCTGCACTGTTCTGTCAGTACATATTATTTTGAAGTTTTCACTAAAAATGATGAAAGATTTTGTTCAAATTGAAAGGTAGACAAGCCCTCTTAAGATATTAAGCGTGGTACTATTACGCAACACAAGCTTTGTCTTTTTGACCTAATCAATAGAACGTGAATACTAAATCATAAATCAGAACTTATAATTGAAATTTTATATGCATTTTCATATTCAGGAAAGAATTAAAGAATAAATATGACAAAGTTGTTAAGAAGGGAGAAAAACCGACTGCAGAGTTACCTGGCTGTTGTGCTGTTAGCTATGATGTTTTCAAACAAACATTTTGTTGCGCTTCTTCATCACTTCCAAAATCATTTGCACCAAAGAAAAACAAAAAGAACAAAAAAGAGAAGGAAAAGGAAACCGAAGGTAAAGCCACACAAGAAGGAAGTTTTGAAAAGGATCATTGTTACATCTATTATATATGAGAAATTTATACAGTCCTGCGTTTTAAGTGATGCTGATGGCTTAATACTTTTTAAAACTTTTTTTATATGTTTTAAAAAATTTGTTTTTTTTTTCTTAACCACAGTATTAGTCTGATAACGTTACTTATGTATAAATTGAATTCCAAAACAAACTTTTACTTACCATGTATCTAAACTTCATTTTGTATAGGAAAGCCTAAGGATGCTGATGCCAAAAAAGCAACTGGCGGAGACAAAAAAGGAAAAAATAATAATCGAAACCAGAATTTTCCTTTTATGACTCAAAAGTTCAGCAGACAACTTAGATTTAATAAGCAAGTGAACGTAGGCAACAGAGCCCAGGGAGATGTTTTGAACAGAACAACCAACAATATGCGTAAACATTTCTTTTTCTCGGAAAAGTTGAATGAAAAAGATAATCATCCAAAAGATGTTAAAAAGACAAGAAATCAATTTGTGAAGGAATATTTGAAATATCACCATAAACACTTCTGGTCGAAACGTCCTAAAGTAAGGTGCCAACCAAAGGCGATACTTCTTCCGAGTATTGGTCCTAAAATAAGATGCCAACCAAATGAGACAATTGTTCCAAATATTGGTCCTAAAGTAAGAATCCAACCAAATGAGGTGATAATGTCAGGTTTCAGTCCTTTAAGGAACATACCAAACATAGTAGAAAGCAGACAACAACTTGAACAATTAAGGTTTTTAGATGATACTAACATAGACAAAGTTCGATCTGAAAATCATCAGCAAAAGCACCGACGGTCCAAATCAACAATAAGATAAAAAAAAAGTCGTTGGTGTTAGTTGTGATTTGAAGTTGTGAAAACGTTAAACCTTTTTGTACAAAATACTAAAGTAGATCCTGATTACCTTATTTTGAATACAAATGTATTGTAACTCTGTTCTATGAAAAGATATGTTTCTTAATAAAGTATAGAATATGTCCATACCTTATTAACGTTTGACAATTTTAAGAATGTGCTAAAATCTTTAAACATGGTTTCTTTATCCGACTTTATTGTAGTTTATTTGTGCCTCATAATCAGTATTTAAAAACAAATTGTATGACTTTTCACAAACAGTTTTACATTTTTAAAAATTTAAAACCTTTAATTCTCTTATTGTTTTTTGACAATAACGATAAGGAACTTATATTTAAGCCATATTTAATTTTTACTTATCAGTTGTAATAAATTACTAATAAATTGCAATTATGTAAAACATTTACTGAGTCAAGATCATGAATTATTGTTTTTACCAAAATTATGTCATGTCATGTATATACATGTATAACAAAATTTGTGTTATTTATTTTGCATAAAAAACGTGTTGTTATTTATTTGACCACATATTTATCATTTTATTGTTGTTAATTATTTAAGTATGTTATAAATTTGAAATGAATTATTGATTAAATTTTTCCGCAAGTTACTCAGCTAGTTTATTTATATTGTTTGGACGTTAGCTTATCCTAGCAAACAATAGGATATTTGTTGGGCACTGAGATCAATCGTTTACAGTATATTTGTATTTATTCCATAAGTATTGTTGGTTACTATAACGGTCTTATTTAATACATAAAAAAAACAAAAAAGGAAATTTACCCAATAAATGTCCATTAGTAGGAACGCCCGACCAGGTAACTCCTTATTTCCCAAGAAAATGATATGTTGAGAAGATTATTTTTGCGTCCGTCTTTTGTAATGCCGATTAAGAGGTTAATGTATCAAATATTTGTTATTTACTGGTAACTGCGTAGGTGTTTTAAATGCGAAGCGTTTAACACGCTAATATCTTCTATTCATGTATTAAATAGAGCAAAATTTGATTCCAATTCATAATTGCAAAAAAAAAAGTTCTGTATTAAGTTCGTCTGCATTTTCTCAATGAATTTGCCTTCAATTATAAACTGCAGCCGTAGCTTCTAATAGTTACTTGCCCACATATTTTTCCTGTTCCATATTACATTTTTTTCTTTTAATAAAATCCCTGATCTTTGATCACAGATTTTTAGTCCTAGATATTTTAGCGGACATTGTATTGCATTTCTGTCGAACAAAGTGCCATAATATTTTTAACTGTAATTATAGCATTGTTTTACATGATTTAGTTATCAGCAGTGAGAAGGACAGACAATAATTCTCTAAGGAGAAGAACTTTAATTATTGGATGATGTTGCCAGAAAAGTGTTTGGCATCTGAATGTTACATGTATACTGGTTTATAAAAGTGTCCATATTTATGCTTGACTCACTTGTAATTAATGGCCTAAATTAGAGTTAACTTGTACCATGTAGACGTGTGTATAAAAATTCAATCACTCAAACACGCTTTAAATTTTGCAAAATGCAAACTAAAATTTAAAAGAAAAAACAATAAAAAATAATAATCAAATAAACGTCTGAAACATAATTAATGATATCAGTTTTGAACAACTGTCTTGAACGGCAATGCAGTTCTGAACAGCGTCTGCAGAAAGTGCTTACTGCTTAGCGACCATTGGATGTCAACAAGGGCAAAACTCGTAATTGAAGACCTCCAGAGCATGTATCCTTTTATCAAGGCCCATCGTAAGAGTTTTGATAGAATTGAAATTACTAGCGAAAACAAAATTTCCCGAAATCGGTCATGACAAACTGTGACAAAAGAAAACAAATACGTTAAAAATCAAAAACCCTCGACAATTTAAAAGGTTATTTGTGCAAACGGGTTTTGGGTTAAAATTGGAGTCGGCCTGAAGCCCCTACTGAAACTTTAAATGGCTATTTCAGGCATATTTGAGATTCTATTTATATCTATATTCCTTTGCTTTGGCAATGACAAGATCGTTACATTTACGGCCTGATGTTGAGCAATTCGTAATACGCCAACTTTGTACTTGTGCGGTAGCTACAGAACGCCGTTGATTCTACCTAAGTGCCCGTTCACGGAGTGGCGTTCACGCAGTGGCACCTAAGGTCTTCTCCCACCAGTGAAGCTGCAAAGTCTTCATATGACTTCTTCTGTGTTTGTCTGACACAAAACCCATGAAAAAAACAAAACTGACGAATTGTTTTAAGTGATAACGTCAAGCTGTGTTTCTGAACTGACCAAAAGACCAGGAAAGAAACTAGTAGGATAGTTTCTTCTAGCTAGACAAAGGATTTAAGAGCTTCGGAAAAATAAACCTTTAAAATAAAATACAATGTAGCATAACCTTTTCGACAGGTCAAAAACGATAGGTATTTGCAGCAATTTTTATGAAACGCATAAAATGATAATTTCAAAAACTGATTTCTATATATAGCCATATATATATTTTATTTTTTTTTTAATATATTTTTTCTGATTTTTTTTGTTTTGTTTGGTTTTACCACGCACCAACACAATTTATGTCATATGGCGCCATAAGAGGAAATATACTTTTGGCTAACCTCGAGTGTTACAAACTGAAAGCGACACCGGGGATCAAAACCACCCACCTGCTGGAGCTACGAGATGCATAGATTACAATACTTCGAAATTTAGTAAGTTACTAATGGATCGAAACTGTATTGTTAAGTGTATTGATATAATTCTGAATGGGCATATGAAGAAGACCGAAACCACAACATAAGAAGACAATGAGTAATTAGTTCTGATCGGGGAAAAAAGTTGTTGATATATCGCCCCGTACATATAGATGTTTTAACCTGAAAACAAATGTACCGAAAACCAAAATATTGTTTTCCTCGAATCACATGTTAAAGATCCGTATGAGGTTTATCCCAACTGTAAACCGATGGACGGAGGAGTTTTGACAAATGGTTACATGACACACCGTTCAAAATCGTCCCAATGCCAACAAATTGTCAAGTTATTGCTATTACTCAATTTTATTGGGGCATCCGATTTCTCCTTATAGATAAACATGACATAGTGACTAAGCAGTTATTTCTACTCAAGTGACTCTGAAGCAATCTATCTCGTTTTAAATACTTCGTATTTAGACTAAAATATCTACAGACATCAAAATGAAATATTTTTCTAACGAGATAATAATCATTTCGTCAATATTGATGTATAGAAATAGAGGTAGTCATGTAGCTAAATAAACAAACTAGCACTATTCTAGACAGCATTGAGTACATTGTGAAATGGTCCGCAGAAACAAAACACAATTCTCTAGCATTTTTTAGATTTCTTTTCCAGATTAAGTTAGCACCGTTATGTAATCTAAATTAATCGCAAGAATGTCTGCTGCTTATTAAGAATGGAACTGAATTTGTTGTGTGCATAAGATTTTTATTATCCCATATAAATAGAAAATGGTAACTATTAATAAACCAACATACGGTTTCTGTTAAGCAACCACATATTTTTTGTTTAAAAATTTAAGTGACACGCCAATCCAAAATATATATAGTATAAAGTGAACAGGTGAAAGTCAAAGTAAATTTAAATTTTGACATAGTTTCTTACAATTTTATAATAGACTTCACATGAGCGATAAATGAATCACGTGACCCAAGAAAATTTCTGTAAGTATCCATCGGAATTGATCTGTAATGCTCAATAAAGGCAGAGACAGTCTATTCATATTTAAAGCATAATATTAATATTTTTATTCTAAATATTAACCAATATCTCCTGTTGGTCAATCACCATCATACAGTCAATCTTCATTTCAGCTTTACTTTACAATTAAAATTGCCATGTCGTTTTACTTGCTAATTTATCAATTTTAGTATATAGCGCATAGTTCATTTGTTTCTCCTCCTTAAATGGATTTTTTACACAATGGTCTTGTTTGTTACAGTTTAATCTTTTATTTAAGTATCATCATTATATAATTCGTAACATCAATACATAAATTTTTACATATATATTTGCACATTCTAAAATAGAATTGTAAGAGACTTACATATGTTGCTGTCTTAAAATACTATTTGGACACTGCATAAGCAGAACAGAACAGACAGTTTATTCAAGACTTGTACAAGTACATATTCATTTTACATTTACATAAATAGTTCATAAAATTAAAAGTCACAATGGAAAAATCAGATTGTTAGAAAAGAAGCAGTAAGATATCATTTCCATGTTCAGATATTTTTCCATATTCCTAGAAAAGCCACAAAAAATATTGTATAAGACCATTTAATAAGAAGGTTAAAAAAGAATTTTTATTCTGTTCTGTGCATCCAACATTTTGTTTAAATATATCTGAAACTATCAATATTTTAGCTGCATATCAATTGTATTGGCAAATGAATCATAGTACGAAGTCAATCCCACTAAAATCTTGACATTCCAATTGAGTCCCAATTCTTTAGACATTCGCAAAATGTGACGTATAACCATTGACGAATTAATGTAACAATATAATCTCACATTAACTCCCAAAAGCATTACATGCAATATTTCAATATATTATTTTTGTCATTTTCGTCTGTATGTGACAAATAATGGAAAATAAGAAACCAGCTGTTCTCAGATACACGATATAGCAAAGATTTCCGTGTCAGTCTTGAGACTATACAAATTTAATTAATGCGCTTTAGATGCATTTAAGGCCTTAGTTAATGTAATTGACCGTACTATTGTTTGGCAATATTGACCTGAGACATTTGAATATTCAATGACATTATGTCGGTATTTACCAGCTTCCGAAGTGAACTATATGGGTCATAATATATGGTTAAAGATCCTGAAACACAATTTTTATGGTTTAATTTCATAAATATGCTCAAATTATGATTTGTCAATATTGTAACTTCCATTAAGCATTATTTATAAAGATATTACGAAATTTAACATTTCATGTAAATTAAGGGAGGTTATTAGAAATTTATTTTCTATAAATTCTAAGTCAATTTTTTTCAATAAGAAATGAATGCATATAATTTATTGATTACATATAATGTGCACAAATATTTGCAGTACATATTTTACATATTCTTCGATGTTTGAAAATTGTTTTATTTGAATGATTTTATACATATATAATTTCTTGTAAGTGTGGTACAAACACAGTAACAATATCAATCACAAAACATACAGGATCTTTTTAATGGTATAAGTATAACTGTAAATGTAGCAGCATAACAATTGACTTTCTAGCCTCAGTGGCAAGGTGCAATATTTTTTTCACTTTTGGTTCGAATCATATGATCAATATAGCCAAACAATACAAGATAGAGAGTTGTAGTAAACAATGTATAAATTGTTTGTATGATACTGTATTATGTACAAACAACGCATTTTATCATAATTTTGACGGCAGGCTTAGAAATACAGCCATTTCACAAAACAAGGAAGATAAAACAAAGTAAGTTTAGCAACTATTTGTGTACGACACTTTCAGATTATAAACTTTTACCACATTTGTCGAGCCATCCGTTTATAAATCACTATCTGTATGCTTCCTTTGCCCTTTCGTCTCTTCATTAGTTTCGAG